TGTGTAAATGTGTCGTGAATAATGTCTTCATCTGTAACACCCACACTCTTAAAACAGATGGTGCTTCAAGGGTTCTTTAGTAAATGGTTCTATACAGAACCACGAACACTTAAAGAACCCTCTGCATGATTTAAGGTTCTTTGCATCATGATACGGTTCTTCAGATTGATGGAAAATGTGCATTAATGTGCTACAGATGGTTCTATATAGAACAATTTTGAAAAGGGCACAAAAGGGTTCTCCTATTGTTACAAGCCTGACACCGTAACAATCGAAGAACGCTTTTGGGCACTATACAGAACCATTTTTTAAAATGGGTCTATATAGAACCATCTACAGCACATTCTCAGCACATTTCATGATGCAAAGAACCCTTTAATCATGCAGAGGGTTCTTTGAGTGTTCATGGTTCTATATAGAACCATTTTCTTTATTAAAGAACCCCTGAAGAACCATCTTTTTAAAGAGTGTACATTTGCATTTCTTATGACAGTCTGAAATCCTCCTCATGTTCTCCTACAACAGTAGTTAAATGGTTTGTCCTGATGTTCTGTCCAAACTGATCAGAACGTGTCTTATAAATGTATTGATTAATCAGCTGAGTGTGTGTATGTGTGATTTGGTGCATGTGTGACCAAACATGTTTGGAAACACAGTAGAAAATATCATTTACTGTCAGAGTGGTTCAGGCGCTGTTTTATGTTGTGTTATGAATTGTTACTGACGCACATAAATTACGGTAAAATTGAATTAAAAAGCGGTAAATCTGAAAACTCCTGTCAGTAAAGACAGCGACAAACTGTGAACACTCTAAGAACCCTTCGCATGATTAAAGGGCTCTTTGCATCATGAAATGGTTCTTCAGATTGATGGAGAATTTGTTGTAGATGGTTCTATATAGAACCTTTTGGAAAAATTGAAAAATCAGCTCCAAAATTTCTGGAATCAAACAGCTGTCCTGAGTAGACAAACCAACCTTTTTGAAAAGGTTCTATAACACACCAAAACGTGTTCCTCTTTTGCAAGCTTGACATCATAACAATAGAAGAACCCTTTTTAGTATTATATTGAACCATTTTTCCAATCTATGGGTGTACTGATTTTTTTTAAAAATCAGTTCCAAAATTTCTGGAATCAAACAGTTGTACTGAGTAGACAAACCATCATCAGTTCTGAGCAGTAATATGTGACATAGACATTTTTCGTAGTTTCTCAGGTGATCTTCTGACAGTGATTCAGTGCAGTTTAAATTTCATTGTCATCTATCATCATATGGCTGTTCTCAGAAGAAACCTTGCATCTCCAAAATGGTAACTTTACAGGAGAGGGAAAAAACATACTTTACTTTTAATGTAAGTCAATGGAACCAGACTTTTTTCCAAGTCATTTTGGGTCATTTCTTTTAGTTCATTCATTCATCAATTTACGTACAATGTAAAGTGCAACAGGTATTTTCAAATTACTGTATGTCAAAAACTGCAAAACAGCAAAAATGGAGATACGAGGTTTTCTTCTGACAATAGTGATAAACTAGTTCTAAGTATCATAAGATGAGAATGTAGTGTTGATGAATACATGCTGATCAAGTACACACACACACATTTTCTATCCTCCTGGATAAACCTAGGGCCAATTTAGTATTTCCATTTCACATGAATGCAGATGTTTTTGGATTGTGGGTGGAAACTGGAGTACCCGGAGGAAACCCACGCAGACCAGGGGAAAGCATACAAACTCCACACAGAAAGGACAGGTGGTTCAGCCAGGGAATCAAATCCAGGCCCTTCTTGTTGTGAGGCAAGAGCGCCACCCACTGCAGCACCGTAAAACCATCATCAAGTAACAGTACTGCTACTTCAATGGAAATAATAACTCAAGTAAAAGTAACTATCACAGACCAGCATGAGTCAAAGTACAAATCAAAGTCCAAAAACTCCAAAAGTACTGACAAGAAACTGCACTGGAATTTCTCAGAATATCCAGCATCTATTAGCATAGGAACTGAAGCTTGTTAGGCTTTTTTTCTTCTCTTTTTGGGATCCTCTTGGTCTAAAATACAGTGAGAAGTGTGAGCAGCAGCGAAAGAGACCAAGTACCATGTGACCAACAAAACAGAACCTTCAGTAGATTTCAGTACTTTTTCTGAAGATTACTGAGTACTTTTACTTACTGCTGGTGTATATTTGTGAGGTAATATGTCTTCTTTTTACTCCATTTCCATTTTCAGTTCATTTTTAATGCTTTAAACCCCACATTTCAGTTCCTCACTTTCATAACTACATAACGTCCAGTTTCTTTTTTTTGTAATTTACACTTTTTTTGTTACACATGAACACCATTATAATACAATGAATGTATAGCAAAATATTGTTTTGTCCTGCACCCCGTTTGTCCCTCGCCCTATATTCCTCACCTGCTGAAGATGAGAAACAAGATATACAGGCAAAGATTGAAAATAAATAAATGAATAGATAAATAATAATAATAATAATAATAACCATCATCATTACTGAATAATTAATAATAGTTGCTGAATAATTCACAATAGTTACTGAATAATAAGCCTTAGGTTGAGTAACTGAATAATAACCAAGCCTAGGAGAATCATTAGAGTTTCATGGATAGGGGGCTAAGCCTGTACTAGGAGGGTCTGGAGGCATGGTCCCCAGAGAGAATTTTTTAATGGTCCCACAATGTTTATAATGCACTTTCAGAATAGCAACAACCAGAAAATGTCAAGTACATCATGTTAAATATATCAAAAATGGTTATTTGGTCTCTTTGTAGTTTGTATTAAGCACAGAGCTAGCATAACGAACACTATATCCATTCACTTACAACACCACAGATCAAGCAAAGGTAATGAAGTCATGCAATGCTACCTCCTCTGTCTTAGATAAACATAGAAAAGGTCCTAAATAAATCATTCAAACAGATTATTGATCAGTTCAGTCTCAGTTGGTGCAATCAGAAAGAGTGTGATTTGGCTCTGTAGGCATGTTTAATAAGCAAGGTGATAGAATTTTATGGTCTTAGTGACAACTATTTTATTTTCTTAAGGAAATTAAATTAAATTGGATTAAATTCAGTATTAATTTTAACTTAAAAAGCTTATACTACTCGCCCTTACTTTCTTCTTGAGCACTAACCTCCATCAGATCTGCTCATTCAGTCCTGTCAGTCTCTTTCAGCTTCTTTCTCTTCCTCTTCCTGTGGTTAGCAATACATTCATTTTATTAAACTCGGATTTACAAGAACTCAAGGAAATAATGATCAATTTAACTTTTTTCTTGTTTTAGTAAAAATCTCATCTGACTGGCCTTCAGCTGAGCTGCTGTCTCTTAATTTCCATCTACAGGTTGAGGAATTGAGGGTTATAACACTGTGTTGCGGTGACCTTTTCACACAAGGCTGAATCATCTTCTTGTTTGAATTTTCCGTTCCACCTTAAATGCTGCAGCAGTGACTTTCTGGCACCTCTGAAAGCGACTTCAGCCTCGTCCTTTTCACCGACATACTGTAAATGGCAATAAATGGCAAATACTGGTGTCATTATTTCCAAATACTGGAGAAAAATCTACAAACACAGAATATAAAGACCTGTGAATAACGTTATTTCTATCCCTCTTGTTCTTTCAAACTAGTAGGCTTGTCAGCTAGCTAGCTAATGTTAGTGTTAGCCTAGCCTCTTTTGTTTACCTCACTTAAACCCAGTTAACTAAGGTCAGCTAGCTAGACTTAACAACAGATATCCAGCTACTCTGAAAAAAGTTTGCCACAAATCCATATTGTAGATGGATATATTCACTCTAACACTGTTTCACTCTGTGTATTACAGATTTTGAATGAGGTCTAAAGCTCATTTTACTGAGCTGCTAGCCCAAATCCTGTCCTCAGCTCGGCTAACGGTTACTTTGCCGTGCACAAACAGAGCCCCTCCCCCAGGTCTGATATGATTGGCTTACAACGTATGAGGTCTGATATGATTGGCTGAACGTTACGTCAATCTCTCGGAGCACAGCAGAGGCGGCGCTGCATTAGCGCAGCAGCAGCGCCTCCCCCAGGCCGCGCCCTGCTATTACAGTATATTGTGAGTGTAAACCGTAGATGATTTGGAGTAGTAACGTACATTTACTTAGGAAGCGGGGCTAAATAACATTTTAGGGGCTAAAGCCCCTCTAAAATTGGCCTAGCAACGCCCATGACCAAGTCCCCTGCCCCGTAGTCAAGAGGTGGCCAGAAGTGGCCAGTGCCACCCTCCTGTGAAGCCCAAAGAAAAACGTAAACAAAGACAGTCAGATATCATCAGTGAACACAACAGCTTCATGTTTGAATTTCATGTTTACGGTGAATATATACCCTTAGGGCAGTTAGCAATCAGTTATGATCTGATGCTGCACTCAATAATCAGCGTATCACACAGGCAAGTGAACAGTGCCCCAAACCTTAACATCGTTCTTGTTCGTTTTGCCTAAGAAAGCAGCTGAAACTGGCTTTCTACATCAGGAAGAACCATGTGCTTTTCCACGGTGGTAAAAGGGAGACAAGTGATGTCATGAGTGTGATTTTCATTTCAAAATAAAATATTTTCTGTTACGCAGTAACACCAGTGACTGGACTCCTGGGGACAACAACTTTCATTATATATTATATAATATTTAATTGGCATTTGTTTTCTTTGTGTCATTTAAATCATGTATTTCATAGTCGTGTTTGGATTATTGCAATTATACATTAACATGTTTTTGAGGTAAAAAAAAACGTGAGGACGAGCACCTCTGGACAAATTAGGACAGGATTATTAGCCAATCGTAGCGCAGGAGAGTCGGTACTACCAGAGCCGTGGGTACTACGAGCCGAACGTGCTCTATGGCCCATGTCAATACCAGCCAATCGTAGCGCAGGAGAGGTGATACTACGAGCCAATCGTAGCCGTGGGCTCCGGACACTACCAGGCCAATCGCGTCGCAGGAGGCGGGACTTGTGCCGCAGAACGTAAAGGGAGGGACGTTTCGTGAATGCAGCAGGTAACGTTAGCGGCGTTCACGCCCGCTCTCAGAGGGAGAGAGCCGGGAAAGTCCCGGCGGGTGAGAATTTTTACGGATACGGTTAGAAAGAGACAGTTACTCTCAGTAACCCTCTCGCTGGACTTGAGGGAAGACTTTCGCACGGCTTAGCCGAAGGTGAGTCCGATTTTGGTCAAGCTTACAGCTCGAGTAACTTCAGAGTAACGCACGTTTTCACACGTAAGGACTTCAGTCGCTCGTTAGCGTTACGTAAAAGACCAAAACCCTAGCGTTAATGTTTTTATTTTTCCCGGTTATACGTTGTGGCTTAAAGTGTTGACTGATCGCTTTCTTTAAGGTCTAAACAGCATGTACTATAATACAACAAAGCCTAAAGCACATTATTGTATCTAAACATCTCGTGATCGCTTTTTAACAGGCTCAAAACACAGAAAACCCCAATCTAAACAGTTCCAAGTAGGTCTGAACAGCAAATAATGCCTCATAAACAGGTCTAAACAGCTAATAATCCGAACTAAACAGCTCTAAGTAGCACATAATCTGATCTAAACAGATGTAAGCAGCAGATAATACCACCTAAACAGTTCAAATAGGTCTAAATATATCCAACCTAAACGGGTCTAAACAGCAAGTAATGCAATCTGAACCATTCTAACCAAGTCCAAACAGCACACAACCTGATGTAAACAGAAGGAAAGAGCAAATACTCTCATTTAAACAATTCCAAAATAGGTCTAAACAGAAAACAGTCCTAATTAAACAGGTCTAAACAGCAAACAGTGCAATCTAAACTGTCCTAACCAAGACTATACAGCACGAAAACTGATCTAAACAGATTTAAGCAGCGGCTAATCCCACCTAAACAGTTCTACGTACGTCTAAGCGGCAAGCAATCCCATTTGAACTGACTCCCCAAATTTGGCAGAACTTCTAGTGTCCAGATTGTTATACAAAGTCTTTTCAGTGTTGGGGTGAAAAATGAATGTTGACCTAGTTGAGTTTAGCTTGTTTGAGTTTTGTCTGTTTTTGTTATGTCATGATGACTGCAGTTTATTTTAAATATTGGCCTGCTTTGTCTGAACTTGCCCTTATGGTGAGCACGTCAGATGATCTAGGAGCAAACTGTCCCTCTTAAAAAACACAGATACTAACGTTCTCTTGAAACTTTCTTGTGACAATGAATGTGAAAGTAAACCTGTTGCTCAGGATGACGCCTGTTTATTAGCTGGAAATGTAGTTAGAAAACTCAGTTATAGTACAAAAAGCCAGCCTTTTTGCCTGAGGATGAAGTTAATTCTCTCCTTTTTGGTGTATTTTACACTTTTACAAGGCAAAACATGTATATTACTGCTGTCGGAACAAAACCCCTGTAACTCATTTTTGTCGTTTTTCAATTCTTGACGTAATTGGAAAAGGCCTGTTGCCGTTTACACTGTGTATACATTTCATGATGAGTGGACCAAAATAAATGGCCCAAAATTACTTGGAAAAAAATTCTGGTTCCATTGACATACATTAAAAGTAAAGTATGTTTTTTGCTTCTCCTGTAAAGTTACCATTTTGGAGATAGAAGGTTTTGTTCTGACAGAAGTGATATTTTCTGATACCGTGTCTTTTAATGAGTCTCCACAAGCAGTGGAAAGTACAGAGTTTCAGCGTCTTTGCTGTTCAGGCCATACCGGTATTTTACTTGATTTCCTATTTGGTCACTTTCACTTCGGCCTCGGTGCTGCTGAGAGAAGCAGAACTTTTGGAAATCTTTCTGCTCTGCCTGTGAATTTTAGCGCATTTTGTGTTAGACTAGCCATTTTTTCCCCACTTGATACTAGAGTGGTCTAGTTCAGTAAAGCTAAAGTAGATGAAAAGTGTTATTATTTTAAATGAGATTTCTTTAGAAATCATCTTACAGATACGGAGCAAATATTTGTATTGATAGACTGATTGTAACCAGTTCATTCTGAACATGCCATACTGGGAAGAAGCCATCTGAGAAAATGATATGTGAAGCCACCTACTTTATCTAATCAGTCCTCCATTGAATTCAATCAGGTGACGAGATCCATGCAGCGAACCCAAACCTGTGTTCCTCTAACCCACACATTAATAACTTAAAAGACCCATATCCTTTTTTTTATTGCATTTTATGTTTCCTTGAGGCCTGCTTATAACATTTGTGTGGTTTTATGTACCAAAAATGGTTTTAATTCATATATTTCCCAACCTTCCTCAGCATTAAACAGGCTATTTTTGTTTCTGTGCCTTTAAGACTGATGTAAAGATCAATAATACCTGTTCTGGTTGAATGTACCGCATTGTGCATCATTCTGAAAGCGCTGAAAACCATAAAACACTCCTTAGAACTTCGACATGAATGGGCAGAGCCTACCGCTGTAGGCAGTGTATGAGTTGGTTCTGGTGACATCACAGAAAACGTAGATTCAAAACAGTCTGTTTTTACAGCTTGGTTTCCATATAAGGGTTTTATAGACTGGGTAGTGTATGAAACATTTTGTAACTGTAATGATTTGTACACAACTTCAAACTACTTTAAAAAATACTTTATTCCTTAAAAAATCAAGAGAACTTCAGTTTTCCTTGATAGCGGCTCTTTAATTGAAAACAACACATTCTAGTTGTTTTACTCAGTTCATGTTTATTTATATTTATTCTACACACTTAAAACAGATGGTTATTCAAGAGTTCTTTAGTAAAGAAAATGGTTCTATATAGAACCAATAACACTCAAAGAATCCTTTGCATGCATTAAAGGGTTCTTTGCATAGTGAAATGTTCTTCAGATTGATGGAGAATGTGCTGTAGATGGTTCTATATAGAACATTTATGAAAAGGGTTCTATATAGCACCAAAAAGCATTCTTCTATATAGAACCATCTACAGCACATTCTCCATCAATCTGAAGAACCATTTCACGATGCAAAGAGCCCTTTTATCATGCAAAGAGTTCTTTGAGTGTTATTGGCTCCATATAGAAAGATTTTCTTCACTAAAGAACCCTTGAAGAACCATCTGTTTAGGTAATGTTAAATTAAGAATCATTTGTCGCAAATAATGCAAATTATAAAATCATAGACAAAATGCATTAATGCCTTCTACAATTGACTTGCAGCATCTTAGACTGTCTGTAAGCTGAAATGCTAAAATATGTGCTTTTACTTTCAAACTGACTCAGATTTACTCTCAGACGTTCACTTCTGTAGAAATTCAGGGTATTTCTTTCATTTTTCTTTTAGTGACTCTGTCAGACTGTCAAATAGGAAATACAGGGTGATTCAAAAAGATTCATCTGATTTCAAAATGACTTATTTCACTTGTAAGTCATTACAGAACAATGCAGTAAACTGTAAATGGTTTAACTGAGCATAAAGTTTATTATGTAATTCTACAAGAGCTCAGTATGAACCTCCTCCAGCTGTACGGACAACATCAGCGCCATAATCAAACTCATCCCATACTCGGGTGTCACTGCACTCACGGCTCTTTCAGTGCGACTTTCGGATATCATCCAGTGATGTGGAACCAACGACGAACGCTCTGAGCTGTTGGAGGTTCACTGCTGACGGAAATCACGCTGCACAGTTATGACGGATTCACTCTTATTGAAGTTGAGAATGCAGAACGCTTTCTGCTCACCGTCTTCTGGTGACAGTCAGACACTCTATGACCCCCTCTTTCAATTGGTATGTGATTGGTTCCTAGGCGCCTCACTGTTGTAAAAATATTGCGCTTTTAAATCAGATGAATCTTTTTTGAATCACCCTGTATGAGAATCACAGTTTGTTCTAGCGTTTTTGTTCACTTGAACTCTTCTGCCTAATTCTTCTTAATGGTTTTAAAATAGAATAGATTTATTTACAAGGCAAACATAGTTCTGTATTTTAAAAACCAGATCTACAAATATACACTTTTATTTTTCTTAGACACACTTATATTCAATTTTTATATTGCTGCTGTCTGAACAAAACCTCGTATCTCCATTATTGTCATTTTTCTGTTTATGACATAATTTGAAAATGTCTTTACATTGTTTATAAATTTCATGATGAAAGGACCAAAAGAAACGGCCCAAAATGACTTGGAAAAAAGTCTGGTTCCATTGACATACATTAAAAGTAAAGTATGTTTTTTGCTTCTCCTGTAAAGTTACCATTTTGGAGATACAAGGTTTTCTTCCGACAACAGTGATATCTTTCTTTAGCATTTCATCTGCAAAATTACACATGAATTGGCCAATATTGACCCTTGGCTGTTATTTGAGGCAAACGTGGTAAAAGTTTAACTTAGCTTTGCTATGGTAACTGCCATTTTAATAGGATGATTCCTTTTAATACCGGATCAGAGGGCTGGTTTGACATGTTTATACTGAAAACTACTGTGTTGCCACATAGTTTTTAAAGGGACTGTATCATAACTACAATGTTATGACGTATATAATGTTAAACATGGTTAAAGATTAACAATATGCTGTTCACTCCTCAGTCCATACGGTCTATATATGAAGATTAAGCCACAGACACTGCTTCATTGTTTTGAATTTGCTTATTTTGTGACGTTAGAACACCAACAGAATACACTTACATACATTAGTGTTGAAAAGAAATCACTGTTTTCAGTGAAGTGTAACATTTTTGTTGCAGGTGTGTTTTTATATGTATAAAATGATTACGGATTTCAACTAATTTGTATGCAGCTGTAAAAAAAAATAAGATTATTATACATAAGTGATCACAGCACATTGCTCATCATTTAATTATATATTGGAATTCCCAAAACTTCAAATTAAAGATTTTTTTTTATAAATGATAAATATTCAGCAACACATGTAAACATGATGTCTGGTATCTAGATATTTCATAGATTTCAATCTACACTGTGTAAGCCATTATTGAATAAAATAATAATCAGTTATTATTAGTGTTTATCCTACTGTTCAGTCCACAGCAGGTTAGCTCTGCCCATTCACATGCTTTTTAGACAGTATTTTAACACAGGGCAGCCAATCAGAACAGAGCTCATTTACATAAATCAGTCTTAAAGGAACAGTAACCAAAACAGCCTGTTTAATTGCAAGGGGTAAAAAGAGGTTGAAAGACATGTGTGTATACTTCAGTGTTGGCCCAAAAATGTGTCAGCGTATGAAAAATGAATGTGTTTCTTGTATTTACAGGTGTGTGCGATGAGAAGGCCTTTATTAGGGAAATGAGTTCAAGCATTGGCCCCATCCCTGCCCTACCCTACGGTTTGGATACGTACGTTGGGCCTGACTCCTGTAGCACCTTGTGGCAATCCTCCATCTGCACAGACACGCATGCATGGGGATCTTTGCCTTCTCTGCCCCAACTTTCTGCTTCCTGTAGTGGTAGAATGGACCAGACCAGGCCCAGCCCGACACCAGAGGAGCCTGAGAATCTGGGCTCCGAGTTCCAGGCACAGTTGGACCTGTTCCGGAAATTGGGCTTCTCCCAGTCGCAGGTCAGGGCCGTCCTGCTGAAACTGGGGCTCAACACGGACACAAATAGGGTTTTGGGAGAGCTGATACAGGCAGGAGCTGAGAATGAGGAGAGAGAAGATGCCCACCTTGTCCCGGCACTCATTTCGCGTGGCGACGGCAGCAAGAGCCACAGCAGTGCGTCTTTACCTGTGGAGCAGGAGGAAGCTGCTGATGATGACGCCCTGAGACCTATAGTGATTGATGGCAGCAATGTAGCTATGAGGTGAGAGTGCCTCCTATCCCATAATGATAACAACAGCAATAATAATAACTACAATTTGTGCATCGTTTTTGATGCATCAGGTATTGGACATTGGAGGAATTCTGCATAATTCAGTGATGAACAAAGCAGTCGATATCTCTAGAGTGACTTAAGGAAGCTGTAGATTATAATAAAATTGATATTTAGAATGCCTTATACCTGAAAAGTGATTACATCTCAAGATAAATAACACATCAAAAATTGCTATAAGTAGATAATTACAGTCCGTTGTTCATTGTTCATGTACTTACTCAGATTTCTTCACAGTGGTAATGATAGCAAAATATAGCCACTTTGTTAATGATTGTGAACCATCACATGTTTTCTAAGTTTTTATTTGTAATATTGATGGTAAATCTGAGAAAAAAGCTTTTTGGGGACTGATTTCCCTTACAAAACCCTGTACGGCCTGCTCCGCCATGAAAGGCTATAAAAATATGCTTCGGGCTACAACTTCATCTCAAAACAAGCGTAAAACATATTCATACCTTTTTCATGTAATAACTTTCTGTTAGGGAGCTTTTAGAGCCGTTAAACTTTTCTGACGTCTGGTTCCTATCACCACCGCTGTGAACAACTCTGACTCTAGTATCTCTGAAATGTAGCGTTTCACACCAGACCACTCTGAATGACTCTGATTTATATCTTAACCATTTAATTATGCAGAGATTTTTGGAAAAAGTGTTGAAATTTTACCTTAAATAATCAGAATTACCTTTTGCTTTCAGTCGTAAACCTAATTACATAGCACTGACAGCGTATTTTAATAAGGATGCTGCAAAAGAGTTGTCTTTCTTTATATTTATATGAAAATGATTTGCATTATAAATGTATGTGAATATATGTGATTAAGTTGTTCATGTTTGTGTATCTCTAACCTATGCAACTAATTTGGATTATTGCTGGCTTTTATTTGAAAGAGCATACCATAATTGTTCAACAAGACATTGAACATCTACTGTAACATAGCACTCTAAATTTTGGGGGGAAAAAAAGCTGTTTATCATTCTGGACATGTAAAACTTTCTTTTCTTTCTTTTAGCTTTCTGCTAATTACTTGAAACCTGTGAAATTGCACAGGACTAGCCCATTAAAATTATTTTAAATTTTTGTCTGGTTTTATATTATTGAAAACCTTGTCCAAAAATTTGAATTGTGGTGTAAATCAGATGTTATCGTGTTAAGATGTAGATTGCATGAAATCGTTTTTTAATTAATGGAAAAAAAAACTAAATAACTGCCATCATTTGCGTTAATGTGCAGTATAAATGTTAGATACCATATTTTTTTTTCTATGCGTGACTGGTAATATGAAGGTAAATATGATCCAGGGGCAATAATCAAATAATAGTATTGTGTTTTTGTTTTGCTAATTTGAAGCTGACTACTATGAAAGGCTGGTTGTGCTGTTATTTAGGTACAATATCTGTTTGAGATAAGGGCAAAGTAATAGAAATACCAGACAATATATGTATATACATATGTTAACGGTGAGTCAGCCTTTTTGCCCGTAGCCCTTTTGTCCTGTTCTTGGAATTCCAATTACACATTTTGTACAGTTTAGCGGGGAATTGAGCAGTTGTTAACTGCCTGAGGGCACATAGCTTCCCAGGTGAAAAAAACGGCAGCTTATTAGAGTGTTTTCCACTTTGGGTTTTAATGACACGCTCGTATTGGTACTCATATCACAGACATCCCCTTCGTGAAAGTCATAACACACAGTTTCTGCGAAACTTCTGCTGCTTTCAAGTGGTTGTTTAGTCTCAGTGCCCATATGTTTCTATTCATGAGCTCTGTCTTGTGACCTTTGTTCCTGTTTTCGTAGGCAGGCTTTCCGTGGTTGTCTTACAGTCATGCATTTTTGACATAGTTCCTCTTAACCTCTTCAACGGCAAACTAGAAACTGTTTTTATGATCTGTTAGATATCTGGGTTCTTCTTCGGTCACACGTTCAATCACTGGTAAAGAAGCAGTGCGTGAAACTTCCTGATAGTGATTTCAGCATGTTCTGTCTTTTTCTTCTTTTTTTTTTTGACACTTTTTTTGTGATCGTACAGTGACCATAGCATAAAAAAAACACTACAGGCCCGTTACAACCCTGGCATCAAGTTCAGAATGGACATATATTTTTCAGAATACAATAAAATTTCTCTGTTTCAACATTTGATATGTTGTTTTTGTACTATTTCGTTTAAATACAGTGTTTAAATGATTGTTTGCACATAACTGCAGTATGTTTTTAATTTACGTTTTACGTAGTGTCCCGACTTTTTTTGGAAACGCGGTTGTTATTGAGGTGCCGAAGTCTGGGTGTTGGCTGTGTGATTTTTAGACTGCTTTTTAGACTGAAGTTTAAGTTCAGACGATGACCTCAGAGCCATTCCCAGAAGCCCACAGGCGCATGACCCACTTGTCCTAGCACACTCCACTATGTCTAATAAACCTCTGTATGCAAATCCACTACTATGCAAATCGAGGCCTGCGCCCTTCCCTGAAGAGACGGGCTGTCAGACACGTAAGAGACGAAGCCAGAACTGGCCTGACTGCATAGTAACCCTCTCCTCTCTGACTTGCACTGCTTTGAGAAACCATGGGCCTGTTCCTGTTCAGCAGAACCGTAGTCTGGTGGAAGACTGTGTTGGTGAAACGTTAACAGAACCCCTTCACTGGTTCTGATGCACAGTTTCATGTTTTTCCTTGTCTAACAGGGCATATTCACCTCAACATAATCAAATCTTGCCTTGATTAATATTATGTTGCAATACAGAGATGCTTTTTACCTCTGTGACTGGCTGTAAAATGTTTTGCTTCCCTTTCAGCCACGGCAACAAGGAAGTTTTCTCCTGCCTTGGAATTCAGCTGGCTGTGAAGTACTTCCTGGACCGAGGTCATGAGGACGTTACTGTGTTTGTGCCCTCGTGGAGACGGGAGCAGCCCAGGCCGGATGTACCAATCACAGGTGAGATGGAGGGAACCTGCACCACACTTGACTTCCCGTTCGACCTGGCAGGGTTACATTACTAATGTATGTCAGTAATCTTCATTTCCTCCTTGAAAGCAAAGTCAGTTAATTTATAATGCAGATAAATGAGATAATGAGAAGAGGGGAACTCCAGAGTTCAGTACGGCTTCTGTGGGTCACTAGAAGGCCGACCCCCCCACTATGTATTAAAGATCGTGTGCAGGCGTGGACAAGGTGTAGGAGAAGGGGAAGGAGGTGAGGTGCGAAATTTTGTCGCGAGAAAGAGGAGTGAAGGACTGGTATTTATAGTAGTAAGTTAGAATTGAGAAGGAGGAGTTTTAGGTGTGGTCTTTCCTCAAACTTCAGTTATGTCACTCCATTTAAAGCTGCATTATAAGATTTAGAGGATTTAGGGACTGGGAGACTTCGCTAGTGGAAATGCAATGTGCGGAAGAACATTTTATAACACGGGTTGTGTTTCGGACCCCTTCCCTGAGTGGATGAATCGGTTGTGAGCATTAAAAGAGTATTCAAAGAGAACTCAGTCAAAACTTGGTGAAGGATGTGTGTTCTGAGGATGGAAGTGGATTATCAGCTGTTGTCAACATATCTTCATCAATATATGATGTTGATTTTGCATTTGAGACCAAAACATTGAGCTGGACCATCTTCTTGAGCCATAAGTGTGACGTTAATACATAAAGACGTATGAGGCGGTCTTAAAAAATTCCCACAGAAATCTGACAAAGCGCCTCAGACTTTTAAATTATTTTTTCAGGGCTTTACAATATGCCCATATTTTAGCATGTTTTTATTCTCCTGACTTGGTAGTGCAGCATCTCTTAATCACAACAAAAAATCTTACACAGTGCAGTTGATCTAGTTAAATCATGCAAAGCAAAACTTATCAATCCCTGATAATAGAATTTAGAAATGAACTATGAAGGTTTGGTGCCATATTTAGTAGTATGACGTGAAATTTCCCATACTTTTTAAAACTATTTCAAAACATCAGTAAAACCACTGTTACCATGTTAGAAATGTTAATGATTCACACCTTCCACAATGTGTCCTACTGAATGCATTTACCTCTTTCTTTTATTTACGTCTTTTTTCAACCCAGCGCACCCAGTTCACATTCTGCTTGTTGCAGCGTAACATGATTTTGAAATCTAATGACTGTGGAAAACAGTTCTAGTCAACTTATATAATTGCAGTCATCTCAATTAATTTGGAATGCCACTCGTCGAGTTTACAGTACCGTAGTGTGTCTAAGAAACAGTGTCAGTCAGTCATGTGTGGTCAATACCTGAACCATTTAATGAGGAACTGGTGTCGATGCAGATCAAGTGTATCAGATCAGTGAATCACTTCTAATATACGATATTTCCAACTAGCAGCTCATTCTCACTTCCCTCATAGTCTTCTCTAATTCAGTGCTTTAGAGCAAGAAACACTAAACTGTGCATTGAAACTTGCAGAACTAAGGATGGTGTGTTCGTGCTTTTGTAAGTCAGCGTGGGAGCTAGTGACCCTGCTGACGCTGTAGGAGAAGGAAAGTTTGACCCATTTGTCAAATATAGCGGACATATTCCTAAGCATGATTAAATAAATAGAGTTTTTATTAAATGTCCACATACTGTTTGCCTTGTGCATGACCAGGAAATAAAATTGTTTGATAAAGTTGTTTGAAGCTGAACAATTTCAGTTAACCACATAGAGTAGCACAGATTACAAATTAATTGCAAGACAAACAACCCACTTGGTTAATGTTCTTGAGCGTAAAGGATGAGTAACATTTCACCACTGTGTACATATCTATATCAAAATTGCGTAATACATGGCTGTAGCTGCAAAAACATTATTGCAGCTGCCACTCATATCTCACATGCTGTGTTTTTTTAGTTAGTAATTGCTGGCTGTTAACCCATAAGAAAGATTAATGAATTTATTCTCTCTCAAAAAAGTGATTTCCTTCTGTTGAATCAAAAAAATTTGTTTGTGGGTTTCTAAGGAAAATACACACGTTGGCTGATGTTACAGTTGCCTATGTGGCATGATATGATGATATGCAAAAACTCGCCCAGTGCAGTGCTACTCTCAGAATGTACCATTTGGAAATTAGGTGTGACAGATTAACTGAATTGCAGTGAAATCTGTTGTCAGGAACGATCAAAACCATTGGTGCAGGTTCAGGAGTGGGTGGAGGGGACATGCCTCCTCCATGCCCCCTTTTTGAAATTATGTGAGATCATTTTTGTAGGGTAGCAGGATGGTTGCCAAAAAAATGTTTGTTGTATTCCACCCTTTTAATGTCTGTAAAATTTAATCGCTAAGATGTAAACAGTCATTCAGAGTGATTTAATATGAAAATGCTTGGTTCTAAAGAAACTTACTGACCCCAAAACTGTCCAAATAGTTCACAGTGGTGGTGATGGGAAGCAGACCTCTTAAAGAGTTCTTAAAGCTGCCTCACAGAAAATTCTAGCTACTTTGCCTAATGCCTGAGATATTACTTTCTGTTTGCTTTGAGATCTGATTTTGGCCTAAAACATATTTTTTAAAAATCCATCTGTGGTGGAGAGGTACATGCTGGGCCTTTAATGCGAAACAGTTCCTAAATTAAAAACGTTTTTTTTTTCAGATTTACCACCATTTTACCATCATCAATATTACATATAAAAGCATGTGTAGGTTCACTGGTGGTTTTGGACAATAAATAAAATGGCTGTATTTGTGTTGCGGATGTTGTGACCCCTGGTTCCTATGACCACCACTGGGTCAGTAAGTTTCTGTAGAACCGAGCATTTCACGACAAACCAATCTGAATAACTGTGTTCACATCTAAAGATTGAATTATGCTGAGAATTTTGAAAAAAATTCCCCTTTAAATCTCCAACTTCAATCTCATTGCGTTGTCATTACAAGATAAAACAGAGGGTTGTTGCGCAAGTGGAAGGACACTGCATGCACCCTGAAACGTGCCAAAAAGAGCTTCAGTCAGTGTGCAGCAGCTCTTAGGGAAGCAGTTAGCTAACAGCTAACTTTACCACCTTTTATTTGTGTCAACGTTAATTGATCATTATGCTTATACTTCAAAGCGTCTGCATGTGGATTTCCTGTTTAATATTATTGTTTGTTTTTTTTATGTTAACATATAAAGTACTAGACATCATGTGAATATGGTAACTTGGCATACTTTCCTTACCTGTTTTTATGTATTAAATCTGCAACTTTTATATGGTGCTAGTACTAAAATGTAGGCTATAACCTTTCAATATTGGTCCCCACCATACATTAGATTAAATCTGCACCCCTGATCAAAAGAGTATTTGGGATTAGCTCCGTGTTTGATAGCAGAGAGCATAGAAAATGTGCAAACTGAACAGGAATCACTTTACTTTAACGTTGACATAATCATGCTAGAAACATGCCGTGACAGATGTCCTGTGCTATCACTAGTCATGATCATGAAATTGTAGCTGATGCTGAATTGTCACATAATAATTGCGATTAACAATGTGTCATTGTTCATTGAATGCAGCTACTAAAAAATGTAAGCCTAAAGTGGTCAAAATGGCTGATTAGCCATTTTGCTTCCTAGCTCATACTAGTAGCTAATACTTGTACTATCTAAATAATACGCTACACCATCTACAGCTACAAAGAATCATGTGTAGAGTTAAGAAAAGCTACATAAGAGTGAAGAAATAATAAAAACAAACACTAGAACAAAAAAAAAAAACATTAGAATTAGCTGGCAAATACACCAGCATTACTTAGCATTGCCCTCTAATCGTGTCAGAACACCCAGTTAGAAGGTAGAACTTTTTTTTGCTTCATAAGCCCCTTGATTTCTCAGTTATTTATTTACGTTTATTTGCCTCAACCCAACACAAGCTTGTAAAACCTAACGAATGTGGAAAATTATTGTAGTCCTAAATAACTGCGCTAATATCAGATAATTGAGGTTGGACGGTTTTGTAATAATTGTGACAGGCCTAGCTGTCATGAGTTGCCATGACAGATTATGTCCAGTAATATATCAGTGTCATGTTACTATTACCGGTAATTGTCATAGCATAACTTTTCATGTTGTGTCTGCTTATTGAGCAAAAATTAACATGTGACATAGGCTGTCATAACAGACGTTATGTCAGCTGTTGTGACAATTACCAGTAATGGTGGCCTGTATTGCCAAACAGAATCAGTCATGACAACTTATAACAGCACATGACAACTTCTATGACATGTTTATAGCACGGTTATGTCAATGTTATGAAGCAGGATTCGAGCAAAGTGATGCGTTTTAGTCACCATGCTGTTAAATGAAATTCGAGGAACTAGAAAGTGCCATGTGAGTGATTCTTGAGGGCCCACAGACACATGGCTTACACTGCAACGTTGTTTTGTGAACTTCCTTGTTTGAGAGGCTTATAGAGGGTTAAAGTTCAGACTTTTGGACTGTGGTTGTAATTGTATATTAACAGACTCAGTCTCTCATTGTGTGAAGTGTGCTGTGGAGCTGTAGTGGCAGAGTACTGATTGACTACATAGGTCAGCTGTAAAAGATTTTCTTACACAACTCTTTAGTCTAGGAAATGTTATTGCATAAATTGCCAGGAAAAACCCCACTCTGTTTATTTCCCTTCCAAGCCAGCCTGAATGTTTCTCATCAATGGAGCTGTTGACATGACTTACCCAGGGGCTTTTTTAGTGCTTTAGTACTTCCTGCAACCCGAGGAGAAACAGTGCTGTCATTATACTCTTTGCTTGACTAGATAGGACTTTGTGTAATTCTTTAGTCTGTCACACAGACTTAGACTGTATTCTTGTCTGGTGTGTATTGGAGCGTCAGGATACGCATGTTAATTATCTTTATTATTATTTTTTTTTGCTACAGGGGTTACAAGACAATAGGCGTTGTGAATCTAATACATTTGGACGTCACGTTATGAAATATATGATATCTGAAATGGTTTCTATAGTTTGGTTTAACACAATCCATTATATTCCTAACAATTTTATTCTTGAATGCTGCTCATCTCCTCCCAGAACTGGAAAAAAAGGGGATTGGTTAGCCTACCTTGATACCCTGATATTATTTGCCAGCTTTAAAATTTCCATTCTACCTTAGATGATGCAGCAATTACATTCTGGCTCCTGAGGCCTGTTTTAAACACTTTACCTCTGCGTGGGGTGAGCATAGCAGCAGCGTGACTGTTACAGTAGTAGTAGTGCAGCACGAAAGTTCTGTATGCATCCTGTTTTCAGTGAATAAATAGTCAAGTCAGTCGCTTTGGATAAAAATATTATTCGTAAAAGACCATGGCACACTTGTTTACCCAGTATAACATTCTGATTTGTGATTGGACCACGGTTTCAAGCTTGGTAGACCTACCGGGAAATCTGTCACTGGATGTTATTTCGCTTGATAACGTTCAGGAACTAAAGAATGTGTTTTTTAGTTTTTACTCACTTTTCTGCTTCATTCTCTTTCATGTCCATGTCTTATTACAGTGTATTTTATGGTTCCTTGTTTATTTTCTACATATCGCACTGCTTTAGTGCTGCGACTGTGGCGCTCGGCATGTACAGCCTGTATGAAAGTGCTGACGTGTTCACATAAATGCTGAAATGAAAAGCAAGACATTCCACGTCACTCGTGCTGCGCTGAGGTAGCATGTGTGAAACAGGCCCATAGAAACTTTTAATGTCAACCTTGGATTGTTGATTAGCAAAGCTGTTTGAAATGGTAAGCGTAGTAAGCAAGCTGGAGCTGAAACAAATGACGTGAACTCACATCTCCTGCTCTGGGAACACTTTTGTTTCCCATTTGAGTGCAGTAAGAGTGGTAGACTGAAGAGTGACAATGTGCGGACACTGCACAGATACTGGTGCTGATACTTCAACGGTGCAGACTCTTGTTTAGGCGTCAACTAAATGTCTTTTACCAAAGTGAGGAGAAAAGACACGTTGCAGCAGCTGTTCCCCACAGGATTCAATCAGGCGCCAAGTTCTGAACAGGCCAAACAGACTCCACAGGCATGTTTTATAGTTACCAATAGCTGCTCGGTTGTGAACAGTCCTGGAGCTGTGTTACAGAAACTTCTTAACTCCGAAAACGTATCTGTTTAGTTACCATAACAGAAGCTATTACAGAACACCAGTTCTTAAGTTCGTAATCTTATCCTGATAAGAAAACAGTATTACAGAAACATCACTTAACTTTGACCACCCCAAAGGTGTCGTAACTTCTGTTTTAACCGTCTATTTGTCGTTTATGCAGTGATGGGCAGCACAGTTCACTATAACTGCACAGAAAAGATGGTTTTTCAAGGGTTCTTTTGCATTATTAAAGGGTTCTTTCCATTGTGAAAGTGTTCTTCAGATTGATGGAGAAGGTGCTGTGGATGGTTCTGTATAGAACCTTTTTGAAAAGGGTTCTGTATAGCACCATAAGGGGTTTCACTGTTGTTACAATCCAAAGAACCCTTTTTAGTGCTATATAGAACCCTTTTTGCTAAGAGTGTAGCATAAAGACATTACATCTATCCACACTGAAAACGGTGCTTTGACTTATGAGGATTGTTTTCTGACCGCGTTTTAAAACCCCCCAGACGCTGCAGACTCGATCTCCACCGCCCCCTCTTATTACCTTCGTGTGTTGATGTTGATGAAAACTCGTCAGGTAGAATATTGCAGTGCTGAATAATGAGGAGACGGAGCTGAACGTGTGGCTGTCTATTAGGAGGAATAACGACGCGCTCGGCTAAAGCATTTGAGAATCTGAAAGTGAAACTGGGGAGTGGCGACGCTCTCACAATATTCCTGACTTCAAGTTTATCGAGCTTTAGTTCTTTGACCTTTTTTTCATCAGTAACAGTGACTGTCTGGCTAACTAACCAGAGCCGGTTTAAGGGGAGCCTGGACTCTTCCTGTTTCCCCCATTATATCAGAAACATAGGCGTCTGCATGCAAGTCCTCAGTGAATGAGGGTGAATGGAGCCAAACAGCTAAAAACAACTATTTACTATTATAACTATTTCATTAAAAAAGCAAAGAAAAAAAAAACTTTCCTCTTTTCTACAGCAAACGGGTTTTGGGCAGCAGGATGCTAGCATTACTGCTACTGAGTGCTGATTGGTTGGCGAGCGGAGCAGCTCATTGGCTACTTGTGCGCACTGACGTCATGAACTCACATGAGGCGCCGTTTTAAACTTCTATAAATGGAGTTCAAAAGCTCTTAAAAATATAACGGCAGTATTAAAATGTTTTATGCTGTTCTGAGTTCAGGAAGTGAATGTATTCTTTTATATAAAAAATGTTTAAGCATTTATAAACTATGATTTAGCTCAAATGCTCTGTCTTAACCCATTCAGTGTCCTCTAGCGTTTGAGAAACCTTTACAGAACTACAGAGTGGTAATTCTCCTCACTACAACTTCTCTGAACTAGCTTGATTATTTTGGTTACGTGTTTACGTTTCAGCTATGTGTGTGTGTGTGTGTGTGTTTGGTTGCTAGGTAACAGATATGACGGTTGATTGTTGATAAGATGCTGTAAGATGACATAAAATAAAGATAAAATTTCTTCAGTAATACAAATTTGTGAAAAAACTTTTTTTTTCCCCGTCAGATCATAAGACAAAAAGATATGAAGTTCTAGTAATCCTGCCCTCTTTTCCACAGTTTGTTAGGGCTGATTGAGCCATATTAAAAATCCCCTCTCACTGTGACTTCATCAAAAAGGCACAATTTTTGGACAAACAAATGATTTGAATGCAAATGAACTTGATAAGCTCAGTTAATTTAACATCAAAACAACATTTCACACATTGTTGGTTTACCTTTATTATTATGAGCTGTAATACCAAGTGTTTGTGGAGTCTCTACTGTACACTCCTTAGCACATTTCAACATTTAGCACTTGTTCAGTTTATGGTTTAACACGTATTGGCTGGTGAACTGAGGAAGGGGTGGGGAAATTCGATGCCGTGGGGCGTTTTCAATTTGTATAATTGCATATGTTCATAAATCTTAACATTGTGTTAACGTTTAGGGACGCTCCTATGCTGTTTTTAGTGGCTTCGACAGCTATGAATTGCTGGACAAAAAGTATATGGACAAAACCAAATGTGTTGTTGGTTTATTTGCCACAGATCAGCATATTCTTCGGGAGCTGGAGAAGAGAAAGATTCTTGTTTTTACGCCATCTAGACGTGTGGCAGGAAAGCGCGTGGTCTGCTATGATGACCGTTTCATCGTCAAGCTAGCATATGAGTCAGATGGTATCATCGTGTCCAACGACACCTACCGCGACCTACAGGGGGAAAAGCCTGAGTGGAAACGCTTCATTGAGGAGAGGCTCCTCATGTACTCCTTCGTCAATGACAAGTAGGTCACGCACCACATGCTGGCGTATTTGCTTACCTTGAAAACCCACAGGTTAGCATGAAGGTAGTATGAGGGTTCAAAGCTGACTTCTTTACTCTGTCTTACATAATGTCCCATCATCAGCATGTGAAACTGGAGCTTTCTGTGTGCTCCTGCGTTTTCTGTATAATATGTAAACTCCATACTGCCTTTACTGTTGGAGGCACTGAGAAGGTGTACAAACATGTTCTTGTTTAAAATAGTACACACTTGAAAAAGATGGTTCTTCAAGGGTTCATGCAAAGGGTTCTTTGAGTGTTCATGGAACCTTTTTCTTTACTAAAGAGCCCTTGAAGAACCTCAATTTCTAAGTGTGTGCACGGTGTAGGCTGAAAAAAGAATACGAACCCCCTACATTCCTAAAAAGAAGGTTTTTCAAGGATCGTTTAGTCAAGAAAATGGTTCTGTATAAAACCATGAACACTCAAAGGACCCTCTGTGGGATTAAAGGGTTCTCTCCATTGTGAAAGGGTTCGCTCTGGATGCAGACCTTTTTGAAAAGGGTTCTATATAGCACCAAAAAGTGTTCTTCTACTGGTACAAGCTTCACATTGTAAAAATATAGAACCATGATCTTTACTAAAGGACCATTGAAAACCATAATTTTTTAAAGTGTCGTCTGTGACACAAAATAAAAACCTATGAATTTCAGCTTTATTAAATGTTCTTTATGTCAAAATAAATGTAAGAAGGTGAAGTAAGTGGAGAAGAGCAGGTTAAAAGGCAAAAATGGACGCTAAATTGTCCTGGCTAATCTCAAGAAGAGCTTAAATTTACATAGACGTTAACTAGTGAGCTGAACCCAGTGTGTTAGAACAGACGAGTTGAAGCACGTTATGCATTAATTCTGAAATTCCTTATAAAGTCACCTGCTAAAACAGAACGCGATCATAAAACATCTAGTAAAATTCTCTTTGAACCTGTCCATGACATGAATAGGCATTATTATTGAAGTGAGTCTTATTAAAAGTACTTGCACTCCACATTTGACGCTGGTAATTTTCCTTCTCACCCCTTGCTCTTTGTCCTCTCCAAGGTTCATGCCTCCAGACGATCCCCTTGGGAGACATGGCCCTACTCTTGATAACTTTCTCCGCAAGACTCCACGAGCTCCTAAGAGACTACCCTGCCCTTACGGTAATTCTGGGAAGTCTTCTCTAGCTTCTAAGAATAACAAGAATATGCAAATATTGTATAGCTACCTAACATGTGCCTACAAGTCCAAGTAAGAGTATAATCCTTTATGATGTCTGTGTAATGTTGGTTTATTGCCATAAGGAGTTTGGAGATGTAATCTGATATGTTTGTTTCTTGTGGATCATAAATTACACGATTTTTGTTTGCATTGCACCTAACGTCCATCAGTTACTGAGAACTACTCTTCCAAAAACATACACAAACACAGCAGGCATTTCAAAGCCATATGCTTTTATCTAGGGGGGGGGGTACTTCTTCTAGACACCTTATGATTCAATTTGATTTTGATTCAGGTTGCCAAGATGCATTTATACAGCGATTCTTGATCCATTCTGATGCATCTGCATATGCTTTTACCTTTATCTGATTTAATGAAATCCTGCATTTTCAGTAGTGAGGTCCTTTTTTCTTCCCACAGTCCAGTTGGGGCATAATGTCTCTGGGTGGGTGAGGATTTATTCTATGGGAAATGCAGAGCCTAAATAAAAGGCAGATTATTATATTTTATGCAGCGGTTCTCAAACTGGTCTTAAGGCCCCTCCAGACAGTCCACATCTTTGCTCTATTCCTATGTGTTGTGAGTTGCGTTGAAGCAAAAATCTAGGGGGACCTGTTTGAGAATCACTGTTTTTGTTGATCTGTTCAGAATTACACTAACTGTTACACTAACTGTAAATAAGGTCATATAACTGTGACTGTAAACAAGCCGTCACATGAGACGTCTCTTTCAGGCTCAGAAACGAATAATAATCTATTTTTCTTGCTTTTGGTGTCAGGTAAAAAATGCACCTATGGGATCAAGTGTAAGTTCAGCCACCCAGAACGAGCCAAGCAGTCCCAGCGTTCCCTGGCGGATGAGTTGCGAGAGAAAGCCAAGATGTCGACCTCACCACAAAGACCGACGTCAGCAGGCCACGGTGCTTCTCTGGAGGAGGTAATGGAGCAGAAACTCACCCTGGATCTGAAGGGGCCTCTCAAGAAAGCCCATACAAGTGAGAATGTGCCAGTATTAAAGAGTGGGCCACAGTCCAGTCAGAGAAAGTTCCCATCAAAACGTGAGCGGCCTGGTCACTACTCTCCAACAAGTCTGGACTCTTTCCACATTTCCTCTCAGGAGCTCCTGGATTCGGGCCTGGGCTCATACGAGTACACTGAGCTTAACGGCAGCCACTGTGACCACATGCATAGGGGAGAGTACAGGAATGCAAAGCCTCAGCCTGGCAGTAAGCACCGGCCCCTGCCGTCTGTCAGCCAACCGTGCAGCTGCTGCTCCCTACAGTCCATGAGCTCCAGTACTGGATACCAGCACCACAGCATGGACATGGCTGCCTCACAAAACCCAGGAGCCATGCCCTACTGTCAGCCTCGATATAACTCCTATGGAGGAGGCCCCTCTTACCTGCCAATGAACATGCCCCAGTACAGCCTCCCCCATGACTACCACCACAACAGGCTGCCTCCCCATCAACATAGCTACTGGTCTGAGCCATATGGCAGCTACAACCGATCTCCCCCCAGCCCTATGCAGGGTGAGATTGCTCCCTGGGGCATGGCACCTCCAAAAGCTAGTCAGCCAATGCCAGAAAGGGAGCAGTTGCGAAAGAAACTGCGTGCCATTTTTAATGCCCGTCTTGTCGACAGAGCCATGGACATGTTCCCGAACCTATTGGACTCTCAGACACTGGCTCAGGAGATACTCAATCTACAGTCATACGAAGGGATTTTGTGAGTTTCACTGACTGCCTTTTGGTTTTATTTCAGGTCCAGGACCAAGGGGCTGTGGGGGAACGGGTTTCCACACTAGAGGTGTGTGAGCTTAGCCCTAGTTGGACTGGATTGGTTTTACATGAGGAGGTGGGGTAAAGTAATTATTACTGGGGTTTCTCAGTGATTTTAGTCCCGTCTGAAAGTGCTATGTCAGTAATTTTTACCAACTGCTTTACCTTCTATAAAGCCATGAAAACAATCCCAGATTATATTAATCCATGAATCAGCATGTCAGTGAAAATGCTATATTGTGGAAAAGGCGTTTCTTAAGTATGGAGACACTCAAAGAAGTTCACTTGTGTCTTCTGACGAAGTAGTCAGCTTCATTTTTAATTCCCGTCCCACCTTAATTAGTGCATTATTACAATGCCTGAGGTGCCAGAATGTAACTGCTGCACCATTTAAGGTGCAACGGAAAAATTCAAATAAGAAGCTGACAAATAAGAGGCCAACTTCAGCCTTGTTGTCCTCAGAGGCTGAAATCAAGCCAAATACGTAATGTTACTGTCCTGTCTTATGTGCACAACTCAGAACATGTAAAAATTACAGGAGAAAAACGTATTTTTTAACTTTTCTGAAAAAGGTAAAGATTTTGTGAGGTGAAGTGGACTATCTGCTCTGAATTCAAGCTAATGGCGATGCTAATGACGCACTGTGTTCACTTAAGACCGCAAGGTAAATGGTTAGGGTAAACGGAATAATGGCTAAATTAAATGTTGTGACATCTTTTCTACTATTTTCTGGAGTAAATTGAGTAGACACTCCCATCTCTGTCATTTACACCAAGATTTCTTATTTCGTGTGAATCGCTCATAAACATTACAGACGTCCTGAGGTAAACTGGCATTACCCCAATTCCCCATGGAACACTAGTCCTGTCCAAATAGGGATAGATGTTTTCGTTCTGCACATTGGAACAGTAGTTCACTTCTTCTCAGATGTTTTGAAGATCCACTGTTCTGTCTTTTGTCTAATTATCACATTTTGTGGCACATTTGGCCAAATCTAGTACGAAATCCAAGCATTCCGTATTATAAATGTAGATCATTCACCTCGCCAGTTTTTCAGGTTTTCTGCTGCCAGCTGCCAACATTCACCATTTGACTGTTTGGTTGTTATAGGCTTAACACATTGTATTATTGGTAAATGTAATATTGTTTGCATTGACCAACGACTTGTAGTGTTTTATCTGGATTTGGTTCTCGGTTCCTGCTGCATTGTTTTGTCAGCACTTCGGCATAGAACATCATACATTACTATGGTATAATGATGCTTTATTCTTTATTTATTGATTAAGAGTATCTTTTATTTTCTTTATTTTTTGACACATTAAGGTGGCAGTAGTCATAGCATTTATTTCAGGTTTAGAATTTCACTGTAATTATTAATAACTTGTCATCCTTTTTGCCCTTAATGTTTAGGTACATTTATATAGGTAATTGATTCGTAATAATAAGTAATATCTTTTAAGTGTCTAATATGGTGATGTTATTCGAATGTGGTCTGTTGGCACCGTGTGCCTTAAACAGCAGTCTCCATGCAAAACTACCTAAGAGAGGTAGGTCAGTGTACACCCTGTGGGTTCTGGGTATTTTCCCATTGCTGAAAAACTATAAATATTCATATAATCACTTTGAGGTGTAATTAATATGACACTGGCAGAAATCCCAGTAGGCACTCTGAATTTAATAAGTAACCAAAGCACACATCTATGCAAAGCAGGGTTGTCATGAACAACAGCCAATGGAAAAAAGAAGCTGCATATATTACTTCCCTGCTTAGTATGCCTTTTAATAAAGGTCAAGAAAATAATACCAGATTGACTTGAACGTTGATGAAGCATTTGTTTGAGTGTACAGAAAGTCATTGAGGTGTTACAGCGTGCGGGGGTTGTGTTTGGGGATTATCAGATGTCAGTAACTCAAGCTAAGTGTAGCGTTACCTGCTGTTTGTAAAATGTCATGCAATAAAAACAAAAATGTTCCAGTTATTTGATTATTGTCTCTGACTGCTCTGTTTTTGACGGTTATACCACAGTTAGTTCTGACCTCGCTGTGTGATTGACAGAGAGACATTCAGTGAACGCCTGTATCTCGCCAACCGAATCTCTTTAAGTATCGCTCCGTCTCATTCGCCTGTAACCTTCACTCTCAGAAAAAAAGGTACTGAACTGTCGCTGCGTTGGTACCCCTCATGTCATTGGGGTGGTACCTTCAATGTCTTCAGCTCCTTTAGTTAGTGAACACAATTGTACCATATTCCAGTTGTACTGTTAAAAACGAAGGTACTGTACAGGTACGTTTTTTTATTCACTAAGGTACAAACAATGTAAATGTTCTCTTAAAGGTACAACAGTGGTTTTAAGGTCCAATTTTGCACCTTAAATGTTTTTTTTTCCCAGGTGAAAAGTACATATTTGTACTGTTTTCATATCCTAATGTTTTAAAACAGAACAATAACATAAAAAGCCTGGAGACGAGACGGGGTGTGTGGAGTCAATACAACTTAGGAAATATCGTTATGATACAATTATGTTCTGTTGACCGTTTACTACCTTTTTTCTGAGAGTGTGCAGGTTGGACTCCATACACCTTGTCTTGACTATTTTGCCTTACAACACCCTGTCTGTACGCCTCCACCGTAAACTGATTTAAAAGATATATTTTAGGCCAACAATGTAAAATAAGGACACAACGTGTCACTAATGTAAAGCACCAGCATGCGGTAACCCATTAGTATTTTAAAAAATAAATATATTTATAAATTTTTTCAATAATAAAAGTAGGATTTTAACATTCTGTACTTTACTGTCGGAGACAATACCATTTTGTCCTTTCTTTGTGGCTGTGGCTTTCGTTTGAGTAGATGAGCTGAAAAAGTCATACAGACAGCGTCATGTTCAGAGAAAAAATTTGGCACCAGCAACACTGCTGTATCTGATCCACGTGAACCACCGCAACACACACTAATGTGCCACTACTACGACATTACTGAGAATGACCCACCACCCAAATAATATGCTCTGTGGTGGTTCTTTTGGGGTCCTAAGCATTAAAAAACAGGATGAAAGAGAGATAAGTATGCAGAGAAACAGATGGACTACAGTCTGTAATTGTGGAACTACAAAGTGCACCTATATAGTAAGTGGAGCTGATAAAATGGACAATGGGCCTCATTCACCAGTATATTCCTAAGTTTTTTTTCAAGTTTGTTCTTGAGAAAGGCAAGGCAAGTTTATTCATATAGCACCATCATACATAAATTTGCTTTACAAATGAGAAAATACAAAGTCATTTAAAAAGTAAAAGAGAATAGAAAAATGTAAATTGAAGGAGAATAGAAAATAAAAACATGATTTAAACAATTAAAACAATAACGCGAAAACACATGGCGGTACCGGAAATAAGCGAGCAGCGTTGTCGCAAGACGCAGCAAAACATTCTTGGGGCGACACTGAAACTGACTACATGCTTGACAAAATGAAGGATTTAAATATTCTTCATCTTCTAGATGATGTATGTTCATATTTGCAGGTAATAGTTCTAACTCAGTGAGAACTATTGCAGCTGCATTTGGAGTCCAGTAAGGAGACCATTACAGTAATCAATCCTGCAAGAAATAAAGGCGTGGATGAGTTTCTCCAGGTCTGCTTTAGTCAGAAAAGCTCTGATCTTGTTGATGCTCTTAACATGATAAAAAGCTGTTTAAGTAACTGCTTTGACATGACTGCTAAAACTAAGATCAGAGTCCATTAGTACACCAAGGTTACATACTAGTTCTTTAGATTTTAGGGTTCTTAAATCCAGATAGGCAGCTAGTCTGTGCCAAACATTACTATTCCCATATAAAATAATCTGTTTTATCCTTATTCAACTGCAGTTCTATAAATCGCCTTGATATAATCTAGGAAGGACGTCTGTACTGGGAACTAAGTTGACCTTTGTCTAGACCTGCCCTCTACAACCACAGTGACCTCCCCACTAGCACTACAACACCCACCCCACCAGGTACTAAGCCTGCTATCATAGTTACAGTGAGTAGACACATTTTCTCGCTCTCTCAGTTCCCCACACGGGAATTCTTCTGGCCCTCCTGACGGTCAGTCCGTCCCTGCTATAAAGTCATAGAAAGCATGCACTTCTCATGTCCACAATGGTCATTTCAGCTGTTGCACGACAGCTGAAATTTGTTTAACGCTCCTAGAATTAGGTAAGTAAATAGTTTTTAGTACTCAGCAGCAGCATTGAATGTTCCCTGGGTTTGTGAACTTGCATAAAGTTTGATTAGATCCATTTACTTACAGCAATAAAGTAGAGTTTGCCATTAAGTTAGCCATTCATTGTGGATCGCTAACATGTCTAGATATGTATATCGTCTCCATTCTCTTTACATTAAACTGCAGCAGGATAATGACCATGTATTTCTGCCTTTCTAGTAACTAGAGTGCCAGTTGCTCCCCCCTGTGGAAGGTCTTTATTTTTAACCCCTACCCCTTGTTGAGTGAGTGTGTGAGTGAGTGAGTGAGTTAGTTAGTTAGTTATAAGCCAGGTCCATGAGATGCTTTGCATCTAAAAATGTTTGTCGTCAGGCAGTGTATTCATAACCATTTCATGTAGTAACTTTCTGTGAGGGAGCTTTTAGAGGTGGGTGTTTGGTTCCTATCACCACCACTGTGAACAATTCTGACTCAGTAAGTTTCTCTAGAATGGAGAATTTCACACCAAACTACTCTGAACGACTTTATTTACACCTCAAACATTTAATTATGCAGATGATTGGTTAAAATTCCCTTTTTTAGCTTGACTCTCTTATATCACTATGTAAGGATGTATAATGCCCAAAAGACTCCCACCAAATTCAACCCCACAGCTCCCACCAAATTCAACCGAACAGCCCATGTGTGATGGTTTAGAGTGGGAAGGGAGCTCTGCAGCAGGATATGTTTGACGTTTACAGCCGCTCACAGGTTGTTATTACTCAAGACTGTGTCATGTCTGTGCAAGTCAACTTTCCTGCTTGTCGTCAGAAAGTGTGCACAGAAGACCGGCTCTTATGGAATGCTGGAGCTGACACGCAGTTGTGCTGCTGCAAGCATGCATGTCTTTGGTACACAAGCAAAACCTTCTTCATGCAAATTTTGCAGGTGCTTTTCACACCCGCTGAACATTAATCCACCCATTCACACTTACATTTGAGAATTTGAGATGAGACCCGTGTGAATGGACCAGTTCATGCTGGCATAGATGTGTCAAAGGCCCAATCCTGTTTCTTATTTTTACCCCTAACCCTTGTTTTTGAGTGTCACCTTGCCCCTTGGAACTGACTTACAAGGGGTAGTGGTTGAAATGTTCCCCATGAAATGGAACAAACTTTAAATAAAAAACAACATTACTTCATTAACAGCTACTAGCGCTGCTCTGTAGGCGACCCTGCCAGTCTGCAGTGAATAGCAGAGGAGCGTAAAGTTGAGTAACCTCACTGCTGGGCTTTAGTAACGTTTAGGGAATCACATGCCGTCAAAGAGGGGGATGAGACGATTATTTATTATCGCCCACCCCTAATCTTTTGTTGATATGAAGCTGAATTCAGCTATTCGCCAGCTTCTTCTTCTTCGAATTTTCCTGTTCCACCCTAAATGGTGCAACAGTTCTGATGCCTGAGGTGCCAGAATGTAACTGCTGCACCGTTTAAGGTGAAACGGGAAATTTAGCCAACTAGCTACTGAGACATCAGCACACTACTAGTGTTTTTTATGCTTGTGAAGAAGATAAGGACCATAATACTTTAAAACAACATCAAAGTAATACAATACGTTGTTTATCGTTAACAGAGACAATTCTCACATTTGTGCAGCCATCTTGCCGTTTTTTCACACTCTGTTTGGAATGTGACTCCTGTTTGGAGGGCCATGTAGCCGTAATACTTCACCCTACCCCTCTATCTCAACAAAAATCAGGACACCCTACCCACAGAGGTGAAAGTGCAGAATGGAGGGGTAGGGCTAAGTGGTATGGGCAAGGGGTGAAATGGGTTGGGCCAAAAACTACCATAAAGTGAAGAATACACCAGCATGACCTCCAACCACAAGATGCAAACCTCTTATTAAACCACACAAACAGAAAGGCCAGGTTGCTAAAAGCTACAATAACCCTTTAAACTGAGCAATTACTGAATTATAAAATCGCTGTTGATGAAAGAAAACCTCGTATCTCCGTTTTTGACATTTTTCACTTTTTGACATAATTTGAAAAAACCTGTTACCCTTTACATTGTATGTGAATTTCACAATGAATGGACTAAAAGAAATGATGCAAAATGACTTGGAAAAATGTCTGGTTCCATTGACTTACATTAAAAGTAAAGTAGGTTTTTTCCTTCTCCTGTAAAGTTACCATTTTGGAGATACGAGGTTATACAGCGATATTAAGGATTATTGTATGTACTCTGAAACTGTATAAGCTCTGTAGTTATAAGAGTGAGGAATTGAAGTGTGGACCCACATACAGACCTTAAGAGTTTAACCCTTTGAACTGTAAAACCTTAGTTTCCAATAAAAAATAGCTTTTTATAGTAGTTATTGAAGAACTTATAGTAGTTACTTAATAATTTATAGTAGGTACTGATTGATTTATATCACTCACTGAACAGTTCATAATAGTTCTTGAATAATTCATAGTGGTTTCTGGATAATTTATGGTGGTTACTGGATCATTCATGAAGATACTGAATAATTTCTAGGTGTTATTAAATAATTCATAGCAGGTGCTGAGTAATCACAGTAGTTACCAGTAAATTATAGTAGTTAGTGAGTAATTTATAGTGGATCTAAATAATTATTAGTAATTGCTGAATAATTTATAGCAGTTCCTTAAAAGGTTAAATTAGGTTACGTAATAATTTATAGTAGTTGCTAAATAATTTGCAATAGTTATTGAAACTTCATTGTAATTGCTAAATAATATGTCGTGGTAATGAAATAATTCATTGTAATTACT